GAAAGCCCATGATTGCCTAATCCTCGCGAATACCCCCTCCCTTCTCGAGCACTTCTTACCATGCTCTAATCGCAAGAGATCCCGAAACGAAAGTCTTGTCAAGACCTTTAATTTGTTTTATGTAGTGTTGACGTTGACAATTCTATCGTGCAATGATTTTAGCTTAACTTCAGTCTTTCAAATGAATTAGATTTACAAGTTTAACCTCTTGTTTATATATGCTTTTCCTGACCCTATGTTTCTCGCTGTATTTAACATTTTGGACTCATTATAATAGGCTAATTTGTTCATTTAGGCCCGATGCCCCCGAATTCTTTCCAAAAGCCGGAAACGGCTTTGAAACGGGCACAGGAGCTGATTCAAGTTGGAAAAGAATCCGATGCCCTCGATACACTGCACGACACCATCAAGGTGGTTCTATCAGTACTGCTTTTTATAAAACGAACTCAAAAAAAAACCATGAAGTGTGGCTATATGTATGGGATTTTTTTTTTCTTAGAGGGATCGCCTATTGTTGTGTAATGAAGTAGGTTAGCCTTTTTCTATTAATGAGTAGGTAGATGTGAATCTAGCTGATGTCACATCCATTTCCACCTAAAGTTGTAAAAAAGGGTGTCCTTTACTTTCAACTTTAGGCTCGTCGATACAAGCAATGGACGCAAACCCACGAACAAATAATGATGAAGCATGTAGAGCTCTGCGTTTTGCTCAAGAAACCGCATGTAGCCAAAGATGCATTATTTCAGTACAAAACACTTACTCATCAGGTATGGTTTATTTTGGGAGTTTTCATAGATAAAAACTTATTTGTTTTTTTTACAGGTTGCCGTAAAATCTTTAGAAACTGTCATAGAGCATTTTTTGCAAATGGCTGAACAAAAAACTGAAGAAGCACAGAAGACATCTATTGAAAAAGTTGAAGAAATTGATGACCTTGATCAAGGGGACGTTCCGGAAACGTAAGTCCAATGCTATTCTGGTAACTACGATGTTTGGAATTATTGATTTAGGCTACTTTTGTCCGTGGTGTCTGGCGCTGCTGCTCAAGATAGAATGGATAGAACTGTGCTGGCACCTTGGCTTCGGTTTCTTTGGGACTCATATAGGAATTGTCTTGAACTACTTCGAAATAATGCACAGGCAAGATTTTGCAATAGCTTTTATGAAATGCTACAATTTTCCATATCAGGTGGAACATCTCTATCATCGCATCACAAGAAAATCGTTTCAATTTTGCTCGAAATATCAACGACGTACTGAATTCCGGAAACTTTGTGAACTTCTTCGTCTTCATCTAAATCAAATCCAGAAGCATCAGTACCTCGCTCACGTGTAAGTCGCTTGTACATAGTATCTTCACCTGAGTACTGAAATACTGTTTTGCGATTCAGAAATTATTCTAGGGTGAAACTGAGCTCTCCTGAGTCACTTTCAATGATGCAGGAGACTCGACTTTGTCAGCTGGATACTGCCATACAAATGGAACTCTGGCAAGAAGCTTACAGGTAAAGATCACGAATAATTATAACCTTAATTTTTCTTGATTT